GATAGTATCAAGAGGTAAATAAAAAAAGTTTTTGCACTTTACAGGCCTCCCAAACCTTCTGCATGCCGTTTTTTAGTGAAAAACAGGGTGTACAGAGAGTTTGAGAGGTCTGCAAAGTGCTCCTGCTAGCTGGGGGGGGCAGAAATGAGCAAAAAATGGGCCCTTTTTGCAAAAAAACAGGGCATGCATAGGCTTTGGAAGGCTTGTAGAGTGCAGGCCTCCCAAACCCTCTGCACGTCCATTTTTACAAAGGGGGCGGGGATTTGGGAGGCCAAAAATGCTGTATTCAGTGTATAAGACGCACCCAGGTTTTCACCTCTCTTTTGGGGGGGGGAAGGTGAGTCTTATACTCCAAAAAAATACGGTAAGTAATATTGCTTAATTCTCAATGCACAGAGCATATCCAAAATATAAATGAATGTATGGTGTTTTTCATTCATTTTGCAGCCATACATTGCTGCGTGCAAATAGCAGGAATAAATCTAGCTGATTCAAAAAATGTGAACTGAATTTCATGCACATGCAGGAACTTGGTCTAAATTAAAGAATGCCTGTCTGGACTATGGCATAATATGTACGAGGTCCCTGAAAAGAGGCAGGAAGATGAAGGAGGAAAGGAAACTAATAAATGAACTGTGAATTCTGGAAGATAGACTACTTGAGGAGAAATCATATGTACCTTGCCAGCTGAGAGATGACAAGAATGCACCCTGGCCAACATTCTTTAGGTTATCTTGCACTGCATCTACAGAACTTCTACCTATAATGTAAAAGGAGTCCAAATAAATCAAAGATGAGTGAATTTAAAGTAGCCAAGCTTGATATTTTCATGAAAGCTGAAATCTCCAGTCTTTGGCCATGCTGACTGGGGATTTTATGAAGTGGAACTATCATCTATGTGGGCCCCAGGTTGGGGATTATTCCCCCAGATAAAACAAACACCTTCCTTACCTGCCAGAGCAAGGGTGTCTTGATGCTCCTGATGCGATGAGAAAAGAATGCTTGGGTTGATGTCTTTTGTGGTGAAATTCTCCCATGGAGGAGTTAAGTCAGTCTGCCTATCAGCAGAATCAATTTCAATTTCCACAATGATATGGAAGAGTTGGGGATATTTTTCTGGTGAGTCACATGCATCCAGCTCAGGCCTAAAGATTCAAATTAATTCAAAGAAATGGTTTGAAGATCACCTGTTAAATCATAGTTTGAGCCTGAATATAATAATGACAATTTACTTATACAATATGATTAATTCTTTTTTTAAATAAAGTACTAATGTCATGTGATAATAAGCAAGAAGTCCTATAGAACTTCCCAATAAAAATTAATTTAACATTTAAATATCTGGACCTTGGAGTGCATTTCTCATTGGAAACAGAGAAGGGTATTTTGGACTTCATGTATTCCTAGACTCCAAATGCAGAAAATATTTCAAAGATGCCTGAAGGAAAAGATATATACGGTTCCTTTAAAAGCAAATAGAAAGGTTCATTCACATTTAATGTTTTCTTTGATGAAAACCTAGTTCAGCTTGAGATAGTTTTATAGAAACCCATGTTCCAACCAAAGCATTCACAGAAGAAGCTATGATCCTTGTAGCCTACTCAACACCTCTGCCAATACAACTCAGTTACTATCTCCTGAGCACTGACAGACTTCTTCAGCTAACAGAAAAGAGAAACAGAATTATTAGTGCAGCTGAAAGGACTTAAGTGGAATTCTCTGGCTGAGTTAGCACTGTTAGCTTCTCTAATTACCTAAATTCATCTCTCTATAAGGACTGGTTTTCAGGCTTCTGAGTGCTGAACCTTGCTCACTACTCATATATTACATGAATCATGTAGGATATCCAACCCTGATGCAGAAAAATAAGTTGAAATTAATTTTAAATTCCCATGTGGTCTAAACTTTTCAATAATTAGGTATTATAAAGGTAAAGGTTCCCCTTGCACATATGTGCTAATCATTCCCGACTCTAGGGGTGATGCTCATCTCCATTTGAAAGCTGAAGAGCCAGCGCTATCCGAAGACGTCTCTGTGGTCATGACTAAAAGCCNTTTGCAGAAACCAAGTGACCAGAGTAGCAATATATAAAGTCAGCAAGAGCCTAATAAATCATTCCTTGTTAAAGATGGATTTTTTTCATCTTGCAGTCCTGATTGTCTCCTAGCTATCTTCCTACTGTTAAAGAATTACTTGTTGGGATGAAAACAACCAAATGTGTGATTCTTGACTGGATCTTATATTGCACATATTCATAGTCTCTCTCTTAAAATATACAACTAGGCTAGAAAGCATTGAAAATCCACATAAGGAAACTCTCCTGTTCTCTTACCTCCCAGTGCAATACTATGCTTATCCTACAAAAAAATCCAGATTCTCCTGAGTTGCATAAAAGAGAGGGAGTGAAGAAACTGCTAGAAAATAGGGAAAATTGGCCAGCACTAATTGGAGGCATTTACATCTGAGTTCTGAGGAGACATACAAAAAATTCTTCTATCCACATGTCTTAAAACCTAGCAGTTAGTAGCCGTCCAAACTAATAATCATGAAAAGTAATTTATAAATCCAAAGGAAGACACAACTCTTTTTCATGAGGATTCTTGATTAGCATCAATTGCTTAAAGTGAATTTTGTTTGTAAAGTACTTTAAGATTCTGGTTAAGATTTTTTTTTTTTACCTTCTCCTATTCTTGGGGACAACGATGGGGATGCTGAAGTTGCAGACCGCCGTGGAGTTGACTGTGCTGAACCAGTTCCACCTATCTGAAAGACATCTTCAACAGGTCCCTGACTGCCTTGGTTTAATCCTCCAGAATTTCCAACCCCAAAAAGGTCACTCAGCAAGTCTGAGTTAGATGGTGGTGCACTGGGGGCTGCTGAGTAGTTCATAGGAGTACCGGCCAAACCTAGAAGATCTGCATCCTCTTGTGGAGGGGGGCCTGGCTGCTCTTGCGGCTTTTTGCTGTGCTTTGAAGTGCCGTGAATTTTGTCAGTGCTAGTGCCACTGTGCTGACTGGAGAGGGATAAGAGTTCATCATCGGATTGCTCGCTTTCTTCATGGACCAGTGCTGCCCTGTCCTCAGAGCTGGGATGAGAACTGGTTCTTTCTGCCTTTTGATCTAAGTAGTAAAAACAGCTTAATGTTAGCTAGCAACTTTGTGGTTCTTCTAAGGCAGAAAAAAACAATCCTTGGGGGGAAAACAGCCACATGTGAAAGCAGACAATACCAGCAATAATAATTACTGTATTTTTCGGACTATAAGATGCACTGGAATATAAGACGCACCAGAATATAAGGCACACCAAGATTTTGAAGAGTTTAGTTAGTTTAGTTTAGTTTATTTGGTCTTGTATGCCACCCACTCCCGAAGGACTCCGGGCAGCTTACAATAAACAAGGGAAGGGGATAAATAGACAAAACACTTTAAAATACGCAACATTCACAGTTACCATGGGGATGGATATTTCACAAGCCCCCCAGCCTGCTGGAGCAGCCAGGACTTGGTGGCTTTG